ACACGCTCGAGTCATTCAATGGACTTTATGGAGTGAGGGGCCCAAAACTGAACACAGGAATCGAGGGGCGGCCTCACCAGTGCCGAGTACAGGGGTCAGATCCCTTCCCTGTCCCTGCTGGCCACGCTAGTGCTGACACAAGCCAGGATGCCATTGGCCTTCTTGGCCCCCTGGGCACACTGCTGGCTCCTGTTCAGCCGGCTGTCAATCACCCCCCAGGTCCCTCTCTGACTGGCAGCTCTCCAGCCGCTCCTCCCCAAGCCTGTAGCGCTGCTGGGGGTTGTTGTGGCCCAAGGGCAGCCCCCGGCATTTGGCCTCAGTGAAACTCCCCCAGTTGGGCTCAGCCCATGGCTCCAGCCTGTCCAGGTCTCTCTGCAGAGCCTCCCCGCCCTCGAGCAGACCAACACTCCCACCCAACTGGGTGTCATGTGCAAACTGACTGAGGGTGCCCTCGATCCCCTCATCTAGATCATCCGTAAAGATGTTAAACAGGAGTGGCCCCAACACCAAGCCCTGGGGGACACCACTTGTGACCAGCCACCAGCTGGATTTAACTCCGTTCACCACAACTCTTTGGGCCATCCAGCCAGGTTCCTGTCAGGGGAGATAGCCCAGGCCATGGCTGGTGATGATGGAGGGTGAGCAGGCTCTGGAGTGCGGGTGGGGAGGGAACTCGGAGCTGAAACTGGCCATCCATGCCTGGCAAGCTGCTCTCCACCGAGAAGCGCTCACCAGCACTTTGTTTACTTACTCAAGACGTGGTTGCCACAGCTGCAATATGGACCTTTTATTAAGTGTGTCCTGTAAGGTGTTGCTTTACCCCTACTTTTTGCCATCCTCCCACAACAGATCATCGCGGATTTGAAGCAGATCTCTGCTTGTCAAACACCCGTAACAATTTTGTCCCCGAAACAACTACAGCAGTAGGCCTTTCTCTAAGATGAAGCAGGCATTTTGATGACAATTTTGCCAATATTCTTGTTTTCTTCCATGAGCCTGTGTGCCTCTGCAATCTCGTGCAGAGGGTAAACGCTGTCAACAACTGGTTGGAGATGAGGGGAGGTTCCTCCAGAAAAATATGGCAGCACATCTTCTGTGAAGGCTTTCACCAGCCGTTCCTTATACTGCAGAAAAAATGAAAGCACTCTGAAGATATTTCCAATCATTTTTGTTCACAGAGGTATCTCTTTAAGCACACTGTACAAAATGTACACAGTTCTCGGGGAGAGTTGACATTTGCATAGTGAGACAGACATGTAAACACCTCACAGGTATAAATTACAAACAAGAAAACTTTTAGATTATCTTTTAATTCAAATAAATTCTCCAAGCAAGTGGTATAAGCGCAGTGCAGAGGCATTTAAACTCAAATTGATAAAATTCTTGAGAAAAATTAGACCATGGAGAGAATCCATTTTAGTGCTCTGCACTGCTGTCTTTTACTGTAATATCTGAGAATTTTCCACATGATTTTTACAGGGTAATTTCTGGGCATCCAAATAGCTTCAGTCTCTACTTCAAAAAATTATTAGAGGTTTTTCCCTTCCCCCTCCTCCAGCCCCAACTTGATCAAGTTGCCTGATCACTTGAGCTTTGTTTCTCCTTAGGCCAAATCTTTAGATTACGGTACTCATGAAGCACGTTAAGAAGTCCTGGGTATCATTCCTCTGATTCAGTAGTTGTAAAAGGAAGGTGTTTGATAAAAATAGAAAAGGGATATTATAACTTAATTTTGCAATGTTTTCCAAAGTATGTAGTAACAGTTCAAGGTGGTGCTTTTTGGGTAATAATGTGTTAGATTCAGCTTTAACACTGATATCAAAAGCTCTCAGAACTGTCATCGATTTTAAGGTCAAGCTGTATACACTGTTGACAGCCATTACTTACCTCCTTGTCTCGTGATCGTAATAGACTTGTATGAATGCTTGCTCTCTTGGAAAGCAGCCTTGCAAACAAATGTCCATGTACTTCACCTCCACTCAATAGTCCATAAATAATCCACCGGCCATCAGTACTCAGACAGTTGAGATTCTTCTCCCAGTATGAGCCACCAACACAATCTAAAATAATATCTACTCCAGAACCTCAAGTAGAAACAGAAAAGATTTCAGCAGTGAGCTGCGTTAAATACAGGAGAATTTCAGGGAAAACTAAAATCTTCTTTATAGGTACAGAATCAATCCTGCAATTGCTATTTAAATCTTCCTACTGAAATTAGGAACTGGCTCAACCTCTAAGCTATTCTAGAATCAAGCACCAAAAAAAGAACCATAGATATCCAGACGCAGACTTTGTCATAAATCATCTGAAATGCTTAGAAAAGATAAATTTTTCTAACAGATAACTAAATTTTGTTTCCATATCCAAACACAAAGACAAGTATGAGGATTAGGTCCCACAGTTCCTTGTGGAGGCAACAATAACACAGGTGCAATATTTATGCCCCAAATGAACACAAAGCCAAAGAGAGTCCATACAGAAAACAGCACAATTACACTAAAGGAAGACAGATTCTTGGGCTGAATAGTATGTTAGGTTGTACCAATGGGGTCATTACTGTCTGCTCCTTCACCGACTGAGGTGACAGTTGGAATGGAGTGTGTGAGCACTTATGTTAGGAGGTATGCACTCCTCCTCAGCTGTAACCAGATCTTTCACATACAGGTTCTTACCTTGGGTGAATGTCAAGACCTTTTCACTAAAATCTTCATTCTTGTAGTTGAATCCCGCAGCTGCTCCAGTGTTCGCTGTTGCTTTCAGTTTCTCTTGAGTTCCTGCTGTCACGATGGGAATAGCTTTTGCCAGTCTTACCAACTGAATGGCTGCCATGCCAACTCCGCTAGCTCCAGCGTGGATCAACACTCTCTCGCCCTTCTGTACTTTACCTGAAGGAGGACATAAGGGGAATGTTCACCTCTTTGGCATCACCTTTGGATTAAAACATGATCATGTGGAAAATACTGAAGAGGAAGCTGAAAGAGATGCCCTTGAGTGGGATTTGTTTATATCTTCGTATCCTTCATAAAAGAAATAAAGCCAGCACTAACACAACTCGCAGTGTACTGACAGGACTCCACTTTAATGACTTCAGTGGAATGGCTTTGGCTTGGCCTTGTCCAGTTCTGGGCATCTGTGAACAAGCTGCCTAGGTAAGTGCAGTCAGCCTTTTTGTACCAGAACTGTCCACTGCCACCGACAGAAAACAGACTCAGAGGATGTTAATACTGAGAAATCATGTCACTCAACAACGAAGTTGAGTTACCCCAAAGTGCTGGGTAGAAAGGCAGACCAGTTCTTTCATTTTACTATCTATCAGTTGCCCTAACACATTTGTTTGTGTTCCACTGATTGCTGCTGGAAGTGAGGCACCAAGTACATGGTCCTATTTGACCACGCAAAACTGCTCAAAGTGAGTCTGCATTTTGGATAGTGAGGAAAGTTACTTGTTTGTAACTCCTGTTCTTCAGTGGAGATTTAAATGCTACTGCTGAAGACAGGATATTTGAAGAATAGAAGAAGGATATTTGTCAACTGAGGAAAACCCTGGCAAGTGCTACTGTTAGTGCCTCTGTAGCACGTTTTCAATACGAAGAGTGTGAGTTTACATCTGGTTTAAATCAGCTCAGAGCAGATTTCACCTACAGTTAATGTCTCTGTGAAACAAGGTACAAGAAATACTACTGTAGATCCACAGGCAATTAGTGAGAAAGTACATGATACGGTCATGCTTTCAGTGAAGTCAAATCTTTAGAAGTAGGATGCATTTTCAGTTGTTTGGAGAACATGTAAGTTATTTCAGGGTTTAGGCTTAATGGAAATTGCCATTCAATCTGAGAAATACAGACAAAAAGAAAAACTGACCATCTTTCCATATCCTTCCTTGTAAATATGCAATCAGCAGAGTAAGTTGTGACTGGGGAGATGTGGTCAAGGTTTCAGGATCTGGGTCTGGCATACTGGACTCTGACCCATGTGAATGGAGTGACAGAGTTCTTTGAAGGCAAACAGCATTCAGATGGAGGCAACAAAGAGAGGATTTCATAACAGAAAGGAAGATGAGCTGTTTTGGTGGGACAGATTTGCAAATACGCCTCTCACCTACAAAATGCAGCAGCTGAAAGGCTGTTAACCAGGCTTCGGGAATGGCTGCAGCCTGAATGAAAGTCATATCACGGGGAATTGGCATCAGGTAGCCTTCAGGTACTGTAACGTACTCTGCCTGGCCACCTCCGGAGAGCAGAGCCATCACTGCATCGCCAGTCTTCCACTGGCCCTTGCAGCCAGGTCCGAGCTCAGCCACACTTCCAGCTGCTTCTAAGCCTAAAATGTCACTTGCTCCTTTGGGGGGAGGGTACTTCCCTCTCCTCTAAAACAAAACAAAAGAGAGGGCAAGAAAGGAAAAGCCACACATCAGTGAATGTAATGACCTGTGATATTTTACTCACATGCCTCTAACCTAAATTCCTATTTATTTAATCCTGATTTTGCACTGTGTAAATGTTCCAGTAATTTGAGGATCTTCTATCCTCTGGCAACATTTCTTGTTTCCAAAGTATGTTTTATTCTCAAAAACTGTGTGCAAATTCAGGTTCTTGCAAGTCCCCTTTGTCCATGCCAGTGCATGCTGGGGAGGTATTATGGTCCCCAGTTGCAGACTTTCAGCTCAAATTAAAGCAGCTCAGATTTAACACACTGAATGTGATTTCCCCACGCTGGAACTGAGCCAGTAGAGCATTTCATGTTCATATTAAATGCCCAGAGAATACAGAAAGATTGGAGCTCAGTTTTACATCTTTTCTTGAAAGGCAGCTGCCTTTTCATGCCACCCCAACATTGCAGTGACCCAGGTAAAAACAATTATCTGCTGAA